GGGCGCGCGGCCAGGCTGCAGGGAGTCGGGGTCCCCTTGCCCGGGGGTCGCGCGTTCCGGTTCCTAGGGCCCGTGTGGCCCGCAAGTCCTCCGTTTCTGTCACCTGTGCAAGATGGTGTGAGTTAAAGATGTAGACTGAATTAAAGACCGCAGTGCTTATGCACATTCCTTGAGATCGGGCCCCAAATTTACGGCCCCCCTTCCGTCTCCGCCTCTGTCTCTGTCGGTGAGTAAGAGTACAAATACTTAATTGCGGACACCTTATAAGTATGGTATATATTTGATTTGGACGATTGCTCTTTGCTGCAGAAGCATTAAAATAGTCAAAAGTTAAGAGGAGTAAAAGGTCACATGGTTTTTGATATGTGCGTAGCAGGGTGGTGGAAGGGGAACTAAGTTCGCTTTTACTTTAAGCCGCGAGGTTCCAGGTCCTAAAGCATAACAACGCCCTGCAGGCGTATATTCGCTCTTAAGTTTAGCCCTGCATTTGGGGGGTGTACTCCAGAAAGTACTGGATTTCCTGAAGTTTATGTATTTTATGTAGCTAAGTATATGATGTTTAAGAAGTAAAAACCAATTTTTTTTTTTAATTAGGTTATGAGATTTTTGTTTGAGAAGGTTTAGGGCTCTCAGAAAACTCATTTACTTGGAGATTGTGTTCGCTGCTTTCCAGTGAAATAGTTGCGTTGCATTTCAAATTCCGAAGCATGCAAATGCAAGACTGGCTTGCTTTTAACTCTATTATGCCCATTTTTGGAGGTTTCAGGAGAGTGCTCATTAAGCTTGAAAGGAAGGGCTGAATTGCTTTCTAAAAATGTTTAACTTTTTTTTTCGTTGGCATCATCTTTAAAAACTAGTTTACAAAAAAAAAAAAAAAAAAAAAACTTTAGATACGCTCTGGTTTGGGTTTGGTTTGTTTGTATTCTGGGCATCCTGCCTGCTAGAAAAGCACTCTACCACTGAGCTATATCCTCAGACCTTTTATTTTATTTTGAGACAGGGAGATAGTAAGTTGCCCAAGCTGGCCTGGAACTTGTGATCCTCCTGTTTTAGCTTCTCAAGTAGCTGGGATTACAGGCATGCATTACCATGCCCAGCTAGGGCTTTTCACCAGTTTATAAAATCCACTCTCCATCCCTGAGAACTGCACGCTCAGGGCCTTGTAGGTCTGGCTTCCTGTGCTAATGTGCCCGATTGGTGTCCTTAGGTACTGCGCAGGCCCCTTTGCTCCTTGCCCACTGATACCCACAGCTACAATTCGCTTAGTCTTGATTCTCAGCGCAGCCTTATTTCCCGGAGGTTACAGACTGTGAATTCATCGAGGACAGGGCTATTTTTCTTTCCCTTTTTTCTATCCCCAGGAACATAAAACTTGGTCACTGTGATACCTCAGTTATGGTTGGAATGAATGAATTTTGTGGAATAATTCTACCTTAATCCCAGTGTTTGACCACTTGCCCTGATTTTGGTTATAGAAAATAAAACCACTGTACCTAAAGTGCTTAAGAATGCAAGCTTATGATTATTGTTACTATGTTATGTGCATCTTGTGAGTAAAATTTGTCATATTTTTCTTTCGTTATCTTTCTTTCTTTTCTTGAGACACGGTTTCACTGTGCAGTTCAAGCTGGCCTTGGGTTCATTATGTAGCCCCCGCTGGCCTCTTAACTCACAGCGGACCTCCTGCATCAGCCTTGCGTGCCCAGCGTGTCATCTTTTTCATGCCTTGTTAACCATACACCCCTTTTCCCAAATGTCTAGTTACAGGACCCTAGAGAAGAATATTCAGATTTCTTTAGCTGTGGAAGTCTAGGAAAGTGTCAAGAAAACAAAACTAATTTAAAGGTGTAGATTTTTAAACTTTTTGTGTTTGTTTGCCTTCAAACAAGACTGCCTGGGTTTTTGTGTTTGTAGTCCTTCCAGTTTTGGCCCTCCGTGGACTCCAAAACATGGATCTCTCTCCTTAGCGGTGGAGTCGGTTGAGGGTGAAGTAAGGTATATGAAGACCACTGGCTTCATTTTGAACTCTGACATGTGTCAGCCGAGAAGGGTGTTAACCGTTTATCTACGGGCCATTGTAAGTTCACCTTGCCTTTTTAAAATCCTCTATTAGTTGATCAGTAAGGTATGTTTCTCTTGTTGTGCTTCAAAACAAAGACATGAGCATTACATAAAGAATAAATCAAATTTGGAAAAAATCTTTAGCTTTATTCTGGTACTGAGGGCTTTTATTCTTTGAATGTGTTCTTTGGTGGGGGGCGGTACTGGGAATTGAACTGAGGACCTTGCACTTGCCAGGCAGGCACTGTGTATGATTTGTACATTTACTAATACACACCACAAACATTTATGATAACATTTTATGGCTTAAATCTTTCACAGGTATGTTTTTAGCCTCTCAAAGAGCTAAGGCATTTTTACTTATATCAAGGACATTTTGCTTTTGTGACATGTAGACTAGTTCAACCTTAACTTTTAAGGGCTTCTATCTCATTTGTAAAATGAGACGGTTTTTAACTGGTACTGTTTAACACATTCACAAAGGGGCTGTGATTTGTGTCTGCCAGGCAGCGCTGAACCACCGCTGGTACATGCATGACTGTCCCATCCGGCAGTGCGGGACAGTACCATCAGGTGACACAGTCATGTATGTACCGCTGGTGGTTCAAGCAGGCAGGTACATGTTACGATCTGTTCAGGCCCTCAGAGTGTGTAGATTCCATGGGCATGTCATAACTTTTTAATATGAAGCACAGGGTGGAAAAAATTACCATGTGGAACATACCATATTCATGGGTTTTTTGGTTTGTTGCTTTTGTTTTTTGGAGACAGTGTCTCACTGTGTAGCATAGGCTGACTGTCCTGCTTCTGCCTTCCAAGTGCTAGGGTTCCAGGTGGGCACCACCAAACCTTGGCTTCACGTTCATGTTTTCCAAACAGGGTTTTAAAATTGAAGTTTGATGGCGCAAACTGTAATCCCAGCCGTCGGGAGGCTGAGGCAGGAGGATGGCCACAAGTTTGAGGGCAACCTGAACTACATAGCAAGACCCTGTCTCAAAAAAAAAAATTGAAGTTTGATAGTCATTTAAGTTTTCCTTTGGAAGCTTGGCCCAGGTAAGCACACCCCTGCCCTCCCTGGCTTCCAGTCCACCTTTCAGCGTGACTGCAGGCCTGTCCCACCTTTCAGCGTGACTGCAGGCCTGTCGGCCTCTTCTCCTTTTCCCTTCCCGTCTCCTGCAGCTCAGGTGTCACCGTGTCTAGAAAGCTGGCACTGACATCCTGCCTGGGTTAGGAGTCTTGCTGGCTCCCGAGATGTCCTGCTCCGGAGCACAGTCTCCGAGCTCAGCCTTCTCATTGTTCTTGGGTTCTCTGCTACACTAACCTGAAGGACAGCAGTGTGTGGCCAGCCTCTGGCCCCAGGTCCTAGGACACGGCTCACTGCCCCGCCCCCCATTTTTACATTTTCACAGAGCCTGTGAAATGTGGGTGCCTCGGATCAGCACTTCTCATAGAA